AAAGAAAGAGAGAGGAGAGGAACCGAGACCAATAATATGAGAGAGTTCGCCACTTATATAATCCATCTTTAAACTAAAACATCAAATTTCCGGTGTAGTGATGAATAATGTCTATTCTGCGCCGATGGCGAGATTATATTTTACCATTTAAGCGCCTTGAAGCAGGCAACACATAGAAAAACGTAAGGCCGTAAGACGTAATCAATAAGGAAATCGTAACAGTAGCAGTACAAGGCGGATTCTAACCCATGGGGCTAGAGGGGAGCGCGGGGCGCGGGGGGGATACTCGTTGGCGCGGGCGGAGGAAGGGGCGGCAGAGGGGGAAGGCGCGAGAAGTCTCGGCGTCATCGTTGATGACTCAAGTCGGTTGATTACATAAACAATGCATTCCTTATTTTTTTCATCCGCCGCCACCATCGCCGTCGCCGCCGCCACCGCCGCCGTTATCGCCACCGCCGCCACCGCCGCCGCTGCTGTGGGCCTCACGTCCCTCCAAAAAATGTGTAGATAACAAGGGTTCACACGTTAGAGAAAGATAGAGCGTGCACGACTCTTTACATGACACAATTATCTGGCATGTGCCAGATTAATAACGTGACTGATATTATAACATAGTATGCTTTGTAGGCGATAGAACGCGTGATATGAGTGAAGAAAGGATAGAAGAAATGAATCCTCTTTTTTGATGACGCAGTTTTTTTCAATACAGTTTTTTATTAGCGCGTCGAGGTATAAGATGGATGGATGGATGGAGATTAAAATAAAGTACATATATAAAATGATGTGGACGAAAATTTTTTTATTCACATGTTATTACATCATGTTTTTTTTTTATTAAAAAGTAAAGTTAATAGCTCGCAATCGATGAGCTGACGCCTATTGAAGAAGTCGCTGTTGTGTATGGCGTTCTCAGACGTATTGGAGAATCGAGTATATTTTGCATCAACCGTATCAATGAATCGGGCTAATCGTTCGAACGTTACATCGATACACCCGTCAAAATCAAACATACGACGTAGCGTCGTTTCCATCATTGTAATGCGTATCGGCGATGAATCGAGACGTACGAGCGTAGCATTGTTCAGCGTACAAACTCTGACGATTAGCGGTCCAACACTTATAAAATTGTCCTTGTATTCGTTTCGAAACATTTTGTAAATATTCTATCGCTGCTCTTCCAGGTTTCGAGAGACAATGACAGTTCGTGTCCGCGATGATCTCCCAGAACGATCTCCACGTAACTCGGTGGAATATTTACAAAATGTTTCGAAACGAATACAAGGACAATTTTATAAGTGTTAGACCGCTAATCGTCAGAGTTTGTACGCTGAACAATGCTACGCTCGTAC